TGTGTGTGTGTGTTTGTGTGTGTGTGTGTGCGTGTATTAAAAACTCTTTTTCTCCTATACTTTTTCCTACTTTATTGCGCACTTCCTATTTTGATTGCACATTTTTATTTTTAGATTTATTCTTTTCTTAATTTTTAATTTCCTGTTGCCTTACAAAGCACATTGAGAGCCTCTGTGCAGTAGTCACATTCCTTGTGAAAATTTCCACGTGAAATAAATAAACTATGGAAAATCCTCTACCCCATCATGAAACAACACAGGCAGAACAACAAACGTGCAAATATCATTGTGGACAAATTATACACTGAAGGACAGCTCTATCGCGACTCGAACATTACCCCGTGGCTCTTCTGATTTTCTGCAGACTACCTACCAACTAGTGACTGCTACATTATATGTTAAATAATTCAGCCCCTTTCATCACCCTGGTCCCTTACATCCACACACAGAACCCCTATCCCACATTACCATTAACAGGATCTAGGGTTGATGCATATATGCATCAACCCTAGATCCTGTTAATCCTCTTTTATGTTTTGTTTTTTCCCCTCCCTCTCTCCTTCCCACATCTTCCCTCTTTATATCTTAGGAACAGATATCTATAACAAACAATCACTCACTCAATTAAAATAGTGTCATGGAATGTGCGTGGATTCCGGACCCAGGTTAAGAGGATTAAAATCATTAACCATCTGATAAAATTAAATGCTAATATATGCTTTCTACAAGAAACCCACCTAACAAATCCAGAATCACAAAACCTTAAATGTAAACAATTTAACCAAATATTTTCATCAACATATAACAGTAGGCAAAGAGGTGTCTCAATTTTAATTAATAAAAATATCCCATTAATTCACAATACATCTATCACTCATTCAGAAGGCAGATTTATAATTATTAAGGTATCCATTAACCAGACAACATATACACTTGTTAACATATATGGCCCCAATAATGATGATTCATCCTTTTTCCATAATTTTTTCTCATCTCTATGCAACTCAACAAATATTATTATTGCTGGTGATTTTAACACCGTTATTAACCTGGAAATTGACCGTTCAAGCATCTCCAGCAATATAAGAAGTTGGCGCTCCACTGAAACAATAAAACAATACAGTATATGGAGCATTATGGACTTGGTGATAGCTGGAGAATGA